TAGATGATGATAAATAACATAGTTATGTATAATATATTACATTTCTGACTGTATATCCCTGTAATTATTACACACTGTAGCTTTAAGAAACAATGATTTTCGTTAAAGACTAAGACCAGACGGAATTTACAAGCCATGGACAAATGGACATAAAAAAATGTAATTGTTTATAATTAATTTGTAATTGTTAATAGAAGTGTTTCTTGAACGTCATAGATGATTACGTGTTGTTGCGCTGTTTGTCCCTACATGGCGCCTGTCCCGGGGGCAGTGCGCTGCTCAATCAGTAGTAACAGAGGGCTTATACTCCTAGGATCACTGGTAGCAGTTAACCGTTGCTAGCTTAACTTTGCAGTCATTGCGTCGGGCTCGGATACCGGTGTACGGTTTGTTGGAGGAGCTGGGCGAAAATAGGGCCTGGATGTATGGAGCCATCCTGTTTACAACGTGAAGGACAACAAAACAACCTGCATGATAATGATTGATCATGCCACCGATGCCGGTGGTGGCCAAGATGTGGAGACACCGGAGGAAGGACGCCAGCAAAGTGTCTGCGGCTTCAAAATGGCAGGGTAGAACACAACGAATCTTAAGAGACATCTGAGGTGCCAACATGCTGCCATGTGGAAGAAGGTAAGGAACGGGTGGGCCTGTCGGTACTCAAAGGCTAGTACCGCCTGTATGATCCATGACTATAATTTGACTCAGACTAAAATCGATCTTCATCATTTAGACTAAAACTAAGACTAAATTGGGAAGGCAATGACTAAATATGACTAAGACTAAAATTGATTTTTGTCATTGTGACTATGACTAAATTTAAAAAAGCTGACAAAATGAACACTGGTTGGAAACATTTAGTATGTTATATTTTGAAATCCAAAATAGTTAAAATAAATATGACTGTATGGAGAAGCATTGCTCCAGACATTTTGAATTGAGAAAACTTTCTGGATGGAAAACCAAACATCTTCAATCTCGGAAAAAAAAGTCCAGTGGTTTTTGTTTTTAACTTTTTTTGGAACATTTTTAAATTGTTAGATAAACATCTAAACAGAAAATAAATTTCATAGAGATCATCAAAGGGGGAATGGATTATTTCTGTCAGCTAAAATATATGATTCCCCTCCTTTAATTATGGTAAATAACGATGAAAAATAACCAAATCCACAGGGTTTGTTGTTGATGAAGAGAGGAACAAACACAGTTAAAGACTTGCAGGTAACTTAACGGAGGCGCTCAACAGCGATGAGGGGGGAAATCACTTCTTCTGCACCAGAATGCTACAGGCTGCTTTCCTGCAAATGCTGCCACCATCTGGTGAATTCCATTATTGCATATTTTACTCAGATCAGCTCAGAAGCGAGATCCGGGGCTCTTGGGGAAACACTCGGGATTGTTGCCTAAGTAGATGCCCCCTAGATCCACCACTGTCACCGGATATTCTAGACCAGACCTTAATATTATGAAGTTAGATTTTTACTCTTTACCTTTAGGAAAACAGGAGTTATAGATTCAACAAAAAACATGTTGAGATGTTTCCATCTACTATCTACTACTAATCTTTTTTTGGAAACTGCAACCCTATCAAGGATTTGCATGAGAGCGATGGAGGCACAGAAAGTAGCAGCTAGGCATTTATTGTGGTGATTTTGTTAATAGATTTTCTATTACCATACAGCCCACATGACCAAAACCCTCACTTGTCTTTGAAGAGGATGTAGAGTATGTCTGCCTGGTCCGGGAGGCTTTTCGTGTCTTTCAGCAGCTGCACCAGAGCGTTGTAGTCGATGGCTCCGCTCTCGTCTCTGGGGATCCCGCTCTCCACGCTAATTGACACCTCAGAGCTCTGGAAAAGAGATGACAGGATGATGTGTTCAGGGTGAGGCAGATCTTTAAGAGCAGGCCGGGGAGAAGAAGAAAGAGAACCTGAGGCTCCTGTGGTTCAGAGGGGTCTGGGAGGTTCAGGTTGAGCGACGGCTGAGAAGAACGAAACAGCTTGCTCGGCAGGTACATGTTGACATCTGGACAGATCAAGAAATAAATCATTAGTACCTGGATTTGTTCAGAGGGTTTAGAAACAGCTTTTTCTGTTGCTGAATGAGCTGCTCACTTTGAATGTTCAGATCCTGAGCTTTGTTCATCAGGGAAACCATCTCTTTGGTTTTGGTGGCCACAGCTTTGAACCTTCCCAGGCCTCCCGCCTGATGCTTGGACTTCTTGGGGACAGAGTGCGCCAGCAGGTGGTCCAGATACTGGGCGAGGTCGTCCGCTTCTGAAGGGAGGGGAAAATAAAAACGGAAAGATCAACAACAGGCTCGGACGGAAAAAGGTGCAAATTTATAGGATCACAAAAAACCTAGAAAAAAAAGACAAATATTTGACAAATATTTGACTGAAATTACACTAAATAACTGACAAGTCTGAAAGCAGTTTGTTATTCATTAGCGAGTCATTTATAAAGAGCGCGTTCACCTAAATGCACCACCAGAATCGTTTCTGAATATAAGAAAAGTGAGCTCAAAAGAAAAACACACTCAATTCCAATATGATGCATTTAGGAACAAATGCAAGAAGCCAGCTTCTTAGAGCCCATGCTTGCAAAAATAAATCCTTATGCATGCTTAGGCAGGCACAAACATTTTCATTCCAGCATGCGTTGCAACTTTATTGCAGCCAAAAGCAACATTTTTTCCAATCAATTCAAGCTGCCGTGCAAAAGTTCTTTAAAATGATGGACTGATTCAGAGTACGTGCTACCTCACCAAACCAACAATACCATTATCATCATCATCATCATGGTGAAACTCTCAACAGGAAGAGGGTCAGTGTACAAATGATGTAATAAAGTAGGAAAAGGTGATTAAAGCGATTCTGCAGGTTATTTAGGTTTATGACGGCTTTCCATTGGAAATTTAAAAACATTTTATTAAATTAAGGGTCAGAGAAGTTAGTTTAATCCATAAAAGTCACAATGGCATCAATTTAATATACTGTAATATTAGGAAACGTTAAAGAACAATTTCAAAATTTTATGACCAAGTTTTACACATTTTTATCCATGTTTAAAGCTACCTTCATTGTACTTAATCATTTTTTACTACTTTTTAAAAGGAATGGTCAAACCAGCCGTGAAAACCCACTAAACGCCCCCTACTGGTGTAAATTGCTCCAATCCTCCCGTTCCCCCCAGCTGGTGTCACCATTCCCCTCCATCATTTAGCCAAGCTCTCTTTATTCTTACCATCATCATTACGCAATTCATGCACGTATCCATCGCCGTCATCATCATCATCACCATAATGGTCGCCGTGCCGGCCCATGCTGCCGGAACCCTTACCGTCCAGGAAGCTGAGGTGAGCACAGCAGGAAGTGGTCAGGAACTCCGACAGTTTTCCAGTCTGGGTCCTTAGTGACAGGAAACAAAATAGTTTGATGTGAAAATGGTGAGAATAGAAATAGTATTAAAGAGATAGCTACACCTGTAGCTCCTCCCGGCCAGTAGGCGGCGCACCCGCACTGGTCAGCTCTTGTTCAAGTGTTCGATTGTACAGTTGGCGAGCCAGTTCTTTAGGTCCGAATGCTAATGCAAACGTTTTGGTTTGCTAATGCTAACCAAAGGTTGATCTTCAGGTGTTCCCTGACCTTTGGTTAGCATTAGCAAACATTTAAACATCCAGAGAAAAAGCAGGAACTTCTGTATGGCTTCAAAGCTGCTTTCCTTGCTTAAAACATGAAGTGATTACCAAGAAGCGCTCCACAAACAGGACCTTTTTGAAAAGCTGTTACTCTCCAAGTACCTGGAAGACACATACACAGGGAGGAAAATAAATATTTGAACACCCTGCTATGTTGCAAGTTCCCCTTCTCAGAAATCACGGAGGGGTCTGAAATTGTCATCATAGGTGTGTGAGACATAATCATAAAAAAAGAAAAATCCAGAAATCACAATGCATAATTTTTTGAACTATTCATTTGTATGAAGCGGCAGCAAATAAATATTTGAACACCCGTGTATCAGCTAGAATTCTGACCTCAAAGACCTGTTAGTCTGCCTTCAAGATGTCCACCTCCACTCCATTCATTATCCTAAATTAAATGCACCTGCTTGAGTTAGTTAGCTCCATAAAGACACCTGTCCACCCCATACAATCAGTAAGAATCCAACTACTATCATGGGCCAGACCAAAGAACTGTCCAAAGATACTAGAGACTAAATCGTACACCTCCACAAGACCGGAAAGGTCTACAGGGAAATTGCCAAGCAGCTTGGTGAAAAAAAGGTTCACTGTTGGGGCAATCATTAGAAAATGGAATCTCCCTCAGACTGGGGCTGAGGGAGATTGACCTTGTGGGAAAGGTGAGAAATCAGCCCAGAAATACACAGGGGGAGCTGGCCAATGACCTGAAAAGAGCTGGGACCACCGTTTCCATGGTTATTGTTGGTAATACACTAAGACATCAGGGTTTGAAATCACGCATGGCATGGATAGTTCCTCTGCTCAAAGCAGCACATGTCAAGGCCTGTCTTTAGTTTGCCAATGATCATCTGGATGATCCAGAAGAGTCATGGCAGAAAGTCATGTGGTCAGATGAGACAAAAATATATATTTTTGGTCATAATTCCACTGATCGTATTTGGAGGAAGAAGAATGATGAGTACCATCCCAAGAAAACCATCCCTATTGTGAAGCATGGGGGTGGTAGCATCATGCTTTGGGGGTGTTTATCTGCACATGGGACAGGTTGACTGCACTGTATTAAGGAGAGGATGACCGGGCCATGGATTGCCAGATTTTGGTGAACAACCTCCTTCCCTCAGTTAGGGAACTGAAAATGGGTGAAGTCTGGGTCTTGCAACATGACAATGACCCGAAACACACAGCCACGATAACCAAGGAGTGGCTCTGGAAGAAGCATATCAAGGTTCTGGCGTGGCCTAGCCAGTCTCCAGACCTAAACTCAATAGAGAATCTTTGGTGGGAGCTAAAACTCCATTTTTCTCAGTGACAGCCCAGAAACCTGACTGATCTAGAGAAGATCTGTTTGGAGGAGTTGTAGCTATGACCTTCATAGGAAAACATTATCATCATTATTATCATCCACCTTGCTCCTCCGTAATATCCATCCTGTAACTTCTTCAGGGTAGCCAAGACTGCAGGGTCCAGATCAGAACGGTCTTCAGCTGCAGGGAAAAAAAGCAAACAAAAACAAAAATAAAGCAGCTTTCACAAAGTATCTACAGGACTGTTTCTAAGAAAGAAATCACAGCAGGGGGAGGAAACACCCACTCAGCATAGTCTGGGAGATGGGGAAGGTGACCGTTGGTCGTCCAGTTATCCTCCATCTAGACGAGAGGTAGGCGATCTCATTCCTCAGCATCTCCACAATCATCTTGTTGTCCAGAGCCAAGTAGAACTGCTGGTGGTCGATAAACTATTGTAGGTTTTAGCAGAGAGCAAATATAGACAGGATGAGAGGTTCTTCAGTGAAAACTTTAGTCACTTGAATCCAGAATAGGATCATACTCATTGCTTCTTGTTACCTGAGGTGTGAAAGCAAAGATGGTATTTCTGATAATGTAGAACTTGGACGTTCCGAGCACTCCTATTCTTCTGTAGGGTCGCCCCGTCAGACCTAGCCTTGGATTGCGGCCTGAAATGGAGAGGGGGGAAATCAAGAAAGGTAGAAAGGATGAGGAAGGGTCCTAACCCTAAAGCTTCACACTCTGTACCCGAGGAAAAAAAAAAAAAGACTCTTATTTTGTTGTAAAGAAGGAAACATTAACATATAACATAACATATCATTTTGAATCCCTTGTCAAAAAGAATCAATAGAAACAAAGATAAAATACTGAGTTTAAGCAATGTGAGAACAGAGGCTTATTGTTAGCAATTAAATGGTAAAGTTAGCATCAGATTGGAGCCTCCTAAAGATGCTAAAGTATAATTTTCATGGTTTTTTAAATAAAATATACTGCATCTGATCACTTTTGACCTAACCATCTCAATTACTGCCATCAAACATAATAGATTGAAGAGTCAAACATGGACTGGATTATAAATAACAGATTTAAAAGTCGTAAGGAAACAGCTGTTCCAACCGTTGCATTTCCGAATTCTTCCGAGTGGTGCCTGACTTTACACGAGTGAATAAAGTGAATATGATTGGTTGTTTATCAAGAGGGCAGGATTGTTGTGGCGCAAGGTTCGCAAGCAAGTTTGATTTGGCCGTTGTCTCTGAAGCATCTTGCTAACCAGTTAGCAACTTAGTGCTAGTAGGTTCCCAATGGGAGATT